CCACAGAACAAGAAAAAGAAGAAGACGGATTTCATCCCATACCGGGACTCCGTGCTGACCTGGCTCCTGCGGGAAAACCTGGGTGAGGACCGGCCACTGCCCATGCCGCCCACCGGGCCCTGGCCAGCGGGCTGGGAGGTGGGCCTGGCGGCCACGGATCCCCAGACCACGTGCCGGGTCCAGGTCTGGGAGCCCCAGGCCAAGCACCCACTGCCTTGGGCCTCAGTGTCCCCCGACTCCGGGGAGCTGGCCTGCTCGCTGGCCTTGGGCTGCTGTAGTGTCCGTGTCCAAATCATCGTGACCCCTGCGGGTCACACTTGGGGGCTGACCCCAGAAAGGTGGGGTGCCCCTTCCAAGGCAGGCATGGCTATGGGGGGGGACCCACGGGGCCACCCCGTGCCCCAGGGCCAGGCTGGCTGAACCCAAGCTCAGGCCAGCGGCAGGCATAGGGAGGCCAGGTGGGCTGGGCAGGAGCCCTCTGGGGCCACTCCTGGCCGGGAGGCGCCCTGACCCTTGGGCCTGGCCTGGCCTCTCCCAAGGGCTCTCTCAGCTCAGGTGAGGTCCCCAGAGTACAGGGTCCCGGGGAAGCAGAAGGGGCCGTCTGTCCAGCCCTCGGCCGCGGCCCTGCTGTCCAGCTGTCACTGTGGAGGGCCCCAGACTCACGTCTGGACATAAGGCTGCCCAATGTGAGTCCACGCGGCCCAGGCCAGGGCCTGCGCTCCGTAGGCGAGGACAGGTGGTGGACACTCCTGAATACACCTGCCCTGGTCCCGCAGCAGAGGCCGTGAGCCCCCTGGGGGCCTGCCCTTTTGGGGGAGACCTGTTGTGAAAAGATGGGACGCAGAAGAGAAATACGCAAGGGGCCCGGGGTGACGGGCGCCAGAGCCCCGTGTCTGTGCACCCAGCGGGCCCGTGACTCTGACTCGGTTTACCCCGGGGGGTGAGCCCAGCGGGGGAGGGGCTGGGAGCGGGCGGGTGTGACGGCGTCTCCCCGCAGGCGGGAACTCGAGGACGGCGATGGTGGCGGCCCTGAGCCCTGCGGACATCAACTACGACGAGACGCTGAGC